ACTTTTGTATCTTTGGGGTAAATACCCAGTAGTGCAATTGCTGGATCATATGGTAGCTCTATTTTCAACTTTTTGAGGAACCTCCACACTGTTTTCCAGAGTGGCTGCACCAGCTTACCTTCCCACCAACAGTGTAGGAGGGTTCCCCTTTCTCCGCATCCTCACCAACATCTGTCGTTTCCTGACTTGTTAATTTTAGCCATTCTGACTGGTGTGAGGTGGTATCCCATTGTGGTTTTAATTTGGATTTCCCTGATGCCGAGTGATGTTGAGCACTTTTTCATGTGTCTGTTGGCCATTTGGAAGTCGTCTGTTCATGTCTTCTGCCCATTTCTTGATTGGATTACTTGTTCTTTGGGTGTTGAGTTTGATGGGCTGGGGCCTTCTTAAGGGTGACCCGAGCAGTGGTTGTATCAAGAGGAGCATGGCACTGAGCCCCTCCCCTGGTCCTTCCTCCTGCAGAACCACCTCAGTTTGTCAAGGAGCCAGAGAGACACATCACAGCGGAGATGGAGAAAGTGGTGGACATTCCCTGTCGGGCCAAAGGTAACACAGTGGCGGGGTCAAAGGGGAACAAGGACCCCCCGCCCCAGACCTCTAGCCCTTCCTGTCCCTGTCACAAACTTTTCTAAATTCCACTTCCTTCTCCAGGGAGCATCACTGAGCAGGGAGCCAGTCTGGCAGTGAGCAGAAACCCCAGGAAACAAACAGGCCAAATTACCATAATCTCAGGACTGGAAATCAACCCACGTTACCATAACTCGAGGGTTACAAATGAATCCAAATTACCATAATTTCAGGATAGGTGACAGACTGAAATTGCCCATAATTTGGGAGTTGTAGACAATGCCAAATTACCATAATGTCAGAACTGCTAGAACTTGGGTACATCTCGCCTGAGATGGGTCTCATGAGCTCCGCCTGGTTTCTGGGTCATTTTGCTCCATTTCCTCCCCTACTCTCTTTACTTAACCCCCCTTTGTCAGAATTCCTGAAGAATTTCCTCTTTCCCCACCCCCAGCCTCCCTCTTTCTGGCCCAGCTGAGCTACAGGACAGCCTGAAACCAGGGTGAAGTCTGGGGTGATCGCATGGGAGGTAGAGAGCATGCACCATGGCCCGTGGTCTGATTGTGAGCAAAGGGGCAGAATGTAGCTCAGGCAGGAGGAGAGTGTCCGTGGAGGGCGTGAGTAAGGACTCCCCTTCTGAGACCACACAAAGGGAAGGGAAAGCTCCATTCATTCACCCAACAAACGTTTTTTGGAGGCTTTACCAATGTGCGGATACTCCTCTCGGGCTAGGGAGGTGTAGACTGAACCAAACAGCCAAATCCTTGCTGTTACAAAACTTACATTCTTTTTTTAAAAAAACATTTTATTTTATTTGACAGAGAGAGTGAGCACAAGCAGGGGGAGCAGCAGAGGGAGAGGGAGAAGCAGGCTCTCCGCTGAGCAGGGAGCCCGATACAGGGCTCGATCCCAGGACCCTGGGATCATGACCTGAGCCAAAGGCAACTGCTTAACGACTGAGCCACCCAGGCAACCCCAAAACTTACATTCTTAAGAGGAAGGCAGACGAACCAATAAACAAAGATACCTTATTTCATTTCATCGAAAATGGGTTGTGAGATGCCCCATGATTTTATGTGCCACTAAGAAAGAAAAAAGACTGTCAATGAAATTATGACATGCTTTCGATAGTAAGACATGTCCTGATCACAGAGGTGTTACGTGGAAGAGTGTGCCCCATGGAATAGTGAAATACAGTGTCCTAGAATGTCAGCGTGGAGAAGGGCTGGGAAGGAGAAGGGAGAAGCGAGCAGGCTTAGGGGGCTTGGAGCGACGGGGTGCTCTTTTGAATGGAGAGCGGGAGCTCCTCTGGGGAAGTCGCCTTTGAGCGGAGCCCCGGGGCAGGGGGAGGTTGGGGGTACCTGCAGGAAGACCATGCTGGGCCAAGGGTGTATGACTTGGGCAAGGCTGAGAGACGGGGAGCCCCCGTTCACCTCCCTCTGCAGACCAGGTAGGAGGGGGCTCCCAAGGGCCGCCTCAGGAACACTACCCCCTTCCTCATGCTCTTTGACATGGGACTCTGTGGTCATGTGAGTTTGGGAAACGAACCCCCGGTTGGAGGTTCCCAGAACATACCACAAGTTCTGCTAAATTAAATGGCAGTTAAAAAAAAAAATTAATGTGTCCTGTCCAGCATTTCCAAGCTAAACTAATCAAGCTAAATTTTCTTGGAACCCCTGCTGTTATAAAGAACTTAAGAAATGCCATGCTGAGAACATCTTTCACCTCTTCCAAGACCATTAAGCGGCACCTCTGAGAAGGTTCTAGAAACCAAGACACACTGGGACCCCCCCACACACACACCCCTTGCCGACTTCCAGGCTCAGAGGCGGGATGGAGGGAGCCAGGAGATGGGCTAACTGTGGGCCCACGTCTGTCCCCCCAGGCGTACCTCCGCCCTCCATCAGCTGGTACAAGGACGCGGCCGTGGTGGAGGTGGAGAGGCTGAGCCGCTTCCGGCAGCATGGTGACGGGGGCCTGCAGATCAGCGGGCTGCTCCCCGACGACACCGGCATGTTCCAGTGCTTTGCCCGCAACGGGGCCGGCGAGGTGCAGACCTCCACCTACCTGGCCGTCACCAGTAAGCTGGCCCTGCCCTGCCCCTGTGTCCCTCCCGCCCAGGACGCCGCTTTCCTCCAAGCCAGCAGCCTCTTGAGAAAAGATGCTGCATTTTGCAGGGAGAGGATATGCCAGAAGACCATCCCTGGGCAGCCGGGGTGGCTGTCCCCGGCTTTCACAGCCCCAGTCTGGTGCTCCGGAACCCTGAGCCAAGGGCGACTTCGCTGGCTCTTTGAGAGAAGCAGCTGTGAAACCCCAGGCCCCGCTCTGTCATCCAAGCTGTCCCTGGCTTCCCGGGCAGGGCTGAAGCCGCCCCGTCCCAGCGTCCCAGCAGAGAGACTTAATTCCCAAAGGGAGCCAGAACTTGAATCTCAGTCCCCACTTCGGACTTTTTGCCCTCTTTTGGTGGTTATAATAGTTCTCCTGCCCTCTTAATGGAGTTGCATGAGCTCAAAATGCTCCGTGAGTGGTCACACCGTAGACAGCCGGGCTCTGGGCACGTGCAGAGCGACGCTGGGCTCCCTGTCTCAGCCACCAAAGGCAGGACGTATGGTCATGGGCCTCCTTGAGCCCCTCCAGGCTCATCACCCAGACCCACAGAGGCCCCCAAACAGGGCAGCCACGGAGCAGAGGGCGAGAGTCAGGGCAGAAGGACTGCCATCTTGCTTCTTGCTTCTGATGAGTGCCGGGGAAGCTGGTGCTCGTCCCTCCCTAAGCTCCGCCCCCATGCACGTCCGACCAGACGGTTCCCTGAGGGCTGGACTAGGGAAGGCAAGCCCAGAGCAAGAAGGCTGCACTTAGCCTTGAAGAACCACAGCTCAGCCAGGCTGTGGACTCTCCAGGGCCAAGGCTTGTGCAGAGTGGGTCATGTTCTTCTATTGGCCATAACCACTTTTTCTCTTAAGAAACTGGAGCCTCGACGCCTCGACGTCATGTTTGGTGAAGGACGGATCCCATTTACCTTGTCATGGAGGGTGGGAGCTGCCCTCAGGGTCCTCGGTTTCCCCCAAACAGAGGCCTAAGAACCAAGGCTGGGGGAGTAGTGTAGCCTGGGTCCTCCCACAGGGCAGGGGGTACAGGGAGCCCTCAGGGGCCCCATCAGGACACCTGCGACCTTGTTTGCGGTGGGACCCACAGCAGCCAGGGTAGCAGGGGCAGGACAAGGACCTGGCCCTCTGGCTGTGGGGGCTCCTCCAGGGTGTAGCTAAGAGGCTCCACTGTCTCCTTTTGCAGGCATCGCCCCCAACATCACCAGGGGCCCCTTGGACAGCACAGTGATCGATGGCATGTCAGTGGTCCTGGCTTGTGAGACTTCAGGGGCGCCCCGGCCAGCCATCACTTGGCAGAAAGGTAGAGGGGACTGATCTCCTTTGGAGGGTGTGACCCTGTGACCATCTAGGGCAGTCCTCAGAGCTCCGTTCTGGAGCCAGCCAGGTCGGGTTCCCTGTGTACGGTTGTGAAGGTCGTGCACTGCACACTCCAGGAGGGCATCCATCTCTCACACCACAGGATGCACCGCATGCCACCCTGCTGGGCTCAAGGCCCAGCTCTGCATCTTCTGACACCTGTGGACCTCGGGTGAATTATTTACTCACTCCGAGCCTTAGGGTCCCCATCTGTAAACCGAGGACTGTAGTACACATACCCCGGGCTGGCATGAGGACGAAACAGGAGCATGCGCGTGAGGAGCCTGCACCGTGCCCAGGCAGCAGGGAAGCCCGATGAATGACAGCTGCTTGATCATATTGTGGTGGTGGCCACGACTGCAGGCGGCGGGGTGGGGGGGTTGGCGTCCGTCCTCCCCGGCGACACAGGGCTCCAGAGGGCTCTGCACCAGCAGAGCTGAAGCGGTCCTGCCCCATGTGCCCTCTCCACTCCTGTTTCCAAAACTCGCCTTCCCTACTCTCCCCGTGTACACAGGCCTCCCCATGACCCGTCCCCCTCCCCCCGCCGCTTTACTTCTCCACCTCCTAATACACAAGATTACCTGCCTATCATGCCACCTACTGCCTGACCCCCCCACCCCCCAAAGTCAGGGGTTTCAGCTTTGTCCGCGGCTGTCTCCCTGGGCCTAGGACAGGGTCTGGCACATGGCCGTGGCTCGGTGAGTGTTTGCGGAATGAGTGTAAGCACAGCCAGCACACATATGGACACAGGCACCGTCACCTGCCACACTCACTAGTTTGGTATTCCTGGCCGTGTGTGCGGATGGACACACCCACAGGCTTGCACATGGAAACGCCCCTCTGTACAGACAAGGGGGAGTTTCTTTAAAATAGCTATCGGGGCACCTGGGTGGCTCAGTCGATTAAGCATCTGCCTTCGGCTCAGGTCATGATCTTAGGGTCCTGGGATCCAGCCCTGAGTCCAGCTGTGTGCTCAGCGGGGAGCCTGCTTCTCCCTCTCCCTCTGTGTCCCACCCCCCCAAATAAATAAAACCTTAAAAAAAAAAGAAATAGAATAAAATAGATACAGTGACCAAAACCTGCACTCTGGGGCTCCTCCACGGGGCACATCCCCGCACCCCAGCCCCAGGCACCAGGCCTCCCCAGGTCCCACCGCAAGGGAATGCTGCCCCCGCCCCCGTCCCTCCCACCCCCGCTCCCGTCACTTTCTTCTGCTCTCCTGAAGGTGACTCTCCAGAAGCATCCTGCGGCAGGATGCCCGTCACCACCTTGTCAGAGCTGTCTGCCCGCCCCCCGCCCCCCCCGGCCCAGGACCAGCTGTCTCCAAGAACTGTGCCTGGCTGCATCAGGAGACAGTCCCTGGCCTTCTCGGGTGAAGGGCAGACGGCACGGTGGGGGGAGAGACGCCAGGAGACCCAGGCTCTGCGACCGAGTGCCCTTGTGCCCATCTCCATGTCAGAAACCTAGCTGGGCCTCAGCCCCGACCCCGGCCTGGCCCTCCCGGCATTTCTAAAGCTGGGGGCCCGCCTGAGAGCGCCGGCCCAGAGCCGCCCGGGGACGGGAGACGCGAGGTCTCAGAGAGCCGGGGGCTGCGTGCCGCGGCCTGAGCCCACCCCGAGCGCACCCCGTGTCGCCTCCAGGGGAGCGCGTCCTGGCCAGTGGCTCTGTCCAGCTGCCTCGATTCACACTGCTGGAGTCCGGCAGCCTGCTCGTCAGCCCCACGCACATCTCCGATGCCGGGACCTACACCTGCTTGGCCACCAACTCTCGGGGGGTCGACGAAGCCTCGGCTGACCTGGTCGTGTGGGGTGAGTGTGCAGAGTGGGAACACTTCACACGTCCGTGCGTGCGTGCGTGCTGAGCACGGGCTCTCACCACCAGCGCCTCCTCATCGGCACGGCTGTCTCACCAGGGCGCCTCTTGTACGAAGGACAGGGCCAAATGAATCCAGAGGAGCGGGGCCACGGGAAGGCCAGGGTTCTGCAGACGGTGCCACGTGGAGGCCCAGATAGTAACTATTTTTGGCTTTGAGGGCTAGATGGCCTCGGTCCCAACTCCTCGACTGACTTGTCTCTTTCATCAAAAAAGCAGCAGTGGGTAATACGTCAGCCGACGGGCACGGCTGTGTTCCACTGCAAGTGTAATTTACCCGGGCAGGCTACCAGCCAGACTTGACCCTGGACGCTAGGGTGCTGAGCCCAGCTTTCAGGAAACTTCTCAAGCCCCTGGCATCGTTAGATTGCACCACTTGGGCTCTGCACCCAAGATAGACACGCCCATGGGCCCCCTGTGGAGGCTGAGCACCGGTGGGCTGGCATGCGATGCAGCAGACGGGGAATCAGACGATCCTATTTTTACCCTGGCTGGACCACTCTTGTGCTGGTCATCCTCTGATTTCCATTTCTTCATCCCTCCCAAGGATTTCTGGGGGAAGATTAAATGAGTCCCCACTCTGAACGTGGCTTCCAAGAATGCGAGTACCACAGAGGCACGTTGTTCTTGTTAGCGTTCTGGGTCACCCACCGTGGTAGAGCCATCCACGTGCTGGGTCTGCCTTCCCCTGCCCATAGAATTCAGCCACACGGGCCCGGGTCACCTGAAGATGCCTTTTGCACACACCTGCATCTCACCTGTTCCTCTGCATCTACTCCCCTTCTCACCACCCTGTTTCCCTGTTGTCTTTCAGCCCGGACCCGCATCACCAAGCCTCCCCAGGACCAGAGTGTCATCAAGGGTACCCAGGCCTCCATGGTGTGCGGAGTGACCCACGACCCCCGAGTGACCGTCAGGTACTCCCTCTGCTGTGGCCCCACAGAGGCAAAAGGGGAGGGCAGCTTTAGGGATAGCTGGGCAAGTATGGATGCCAAGCCACGGCCTTGGGGGGACCACCTGCAGAGCTAGTGCAGGGCTGAGCTAGCTTGAACTGAATTGGGCCGAGTGGTGGGGGGGGGGGTCGATATGGAAAAACGGAGGAGGGAGGGATGCAGGAGGGAGTGGCGGAGAAGAAAGAGGCATTTTGGTTGGTGACATGTGGAGACTCTGAGGTGCTCTTGCTGTGACGTAGGACCCCACTCTAGCGCAATCTTCGACCCAGATCTTAGACCCCCTGCCCACCGGGTGGACAGCAGACGGGTCTGGGTAAACAGGCGTGGGAGCAGAGATAGGCCAAGGCAGGAGACACGTGTGAGAGGAAAGCGCCCCAAAATGGGGCCACCCCCCGCCCCCGGGAGCTGGGACCTTGGTGAGCTACTTGGCCTGAAGGGAACCCGGTCCCCCTGGGGAAGCCACTGGAGACAGGTCAGAAGCAGCCAAGAAGGCTGTAAAAGCCAGAACCCCTCCCAAGCTTGGGCTGCGGACACCTGGACCCACCCCAGGAAAGGCTGCAGGGACTAAGACCAGGAGAAAATTGTCCCTTCGGGGCTCTCCCTTGAACTCCGGGATGCTGAGTAAAAAAAAATGCAACTGCTTCCTTAGAAACAAATACTCCCTCCATGTTGCTTCTGTGTTTTATGGCCAATATCTCACTGACAGAGCAACTGGCTTCGAGGCTGGAAGGGGCCGGGCACTGATGGCACTTGGGAGGCTGGGCCCCCACCGCTCGGGAGGCAGCTGTATCCTGGGGCGCCATCTGGTGGCCATTAAGCACATGACAGTCTATGCCGCCACACTGAATGGGCTTCCCCCGGAAGCCAGGGTTGGCATAAAGAGGACTAACTAGACTTTTAGACCCACACCCATTCTCCGAGAATCCATTGCGGGCCCTCAGTTTGAGAAACACCTCCTTGCACATTAAACATTGACCCGTCAGGACAGTCATCATGTAGTACCAGCATAAATGCAAGCAGGAGCCTTGAAATCACGTAGATGTCATTAAAATACTGTCAACACCAGAAACAGAATATGCTTATTCCTGGGATTATTAAATTTTGTAAAAAAAAAAAAAATACCGACTATAAAAATGTTCTCCAAGAGAACCCCGCCTATCCCCCCCACCACCAGAGAATTTCGCTGTGGGTTGCCGACCCACACCTAAGTGGTAGCTATAATTTTAGCACCTATTAATTGAAAAACTTCATAATAATAAAAAGCTATATTAATTCAGCGACACTTTAAAATAAATTGGTGTTTTATTTATTAAAATATTATCCAGCTAGCATTTGGAAAATACTTGCACGTTTTATTCATTCTCTAGACAATTCTTAATGAGCAAAGGGATTCAGGGACCTCTTGCAATATAGCTGCAGACCCACCTCCCAAGGACCCCTAGGGACCCACAGATGGGAAAACCCTATTCCAGTTCACTGAGGGGTCCTCGCCTTAGAATGGCACTCCCCATCTAGGGCAATCTTTACTCGGTGGGGAGAGAGAACAGAATTGGTTCTCAGGCCCCAAAATTGTCAGTCTGGGGCCAAAGGCACCTGCATATCTCGCACTCCTTCCTTGGACTTGAAAACTCTGTTGGAGTTTTAGGAACAGACCAGGGGTTCCCTGAGCAGACAGGCTAGAAGGGACCCAACAAACAACCCAGTCAGATTAAAGTGATGGCCACTTAATTCTGTGCTCTGTGCCATCCTCAAAAATCAAGCCAGGGTCCAGGGGTCATGGCCTGAGCAGGTGCAGGTTGCCTGCCCAGAAAGCTTCCAGAACTGCCTTAGGAGAAACTCTTCTGTTTGGATTTGAGCCCAGATCTAGACCCACTCTGAGCAATCCACTTGTGGCCACTGTTAATACTAATCAATATTTCCATTGGCTTTCTTTGTTACACAGCTAATAGATATCCTTTTTAAGAGGGAAATATTGAAAATTTAGATAAGCCCCAAAAAATGGGGAAGGAAAGAGAGAAAGAAGAAAAGTAGGTTTATCTGTTTCTCTCAGTTAGAGATAATAATACTAGAGTGTCATTTATAAAAAACCTAGAAACACAGTTTCTTTGTCTGCTTTTTCCCTTAAGAACCCATTGTGAATCTCTTCCCCTGTCAATAAATATTCTTGTATAAACTTAATTATATGATTATTCACTCATCCATTGTGTGGATGTAACATAATTTCTGTTACCAATTCCCTAATGCCGGATATTTGGATGGTTTCTCAATTTTTTGCTAATATTAAGAAACATCATGGGCTGCCTGGATGGCTCAGTTGGGCATCTGACTCTTGATCTCAGGGTCATGGGTTCAAGCCCCATGTTGAGCTCCATGCTGGGCGTGGAGCCTACTTTAAAAAAAAAAAGAAACATCATGATGAATGTCCTTGCAACTAAATATTTTTGCACTTCTTTGATTTCCTGAGGACTATCTAATATTATTTAAAACTGAAAGGAGGCCTGAAAATTGCTCATCAAAATTGTTTAATAGCCAGCTATATAGTTACAGATGATTTTGGAAAATTTCTACCCTGAATTAAATGGACTCATGAGTTGTTTCTTTCTTTTTTTTTTTTTTTATAAATTTCTACGTGGAAATTTTCAAACATAGCCCAGAGTAGAGAGACCAGGATCATCAAGCCTTACATACCCATCTCTTTTTTTTTATTTAAATTCAATGAATTAACATATAGTGTATTATTAGCTTCAGAGGTAGAGTTCAGTGATTCATCAGTCTTATATAACACCCAGTGCTCATTACATCACGTGCCTTCCTTAATGTCCATCACCCAGTTACCCCATCCCCCCATGTCCCTCCCCTCCAGCAACCCTCAGTGTGTTTCCTATGATTAAGAGTCTTTTATGGTTTGTCTCCCTCTCTGACTTTATCTTGCTTTATTTTTCCTTCCCTTCCCCTATGATCCTCTGTTTGGTTTCTTAAGTTCCACATATGAGTGAAATCATATGATAATTGTCTTTCTCTGACTGACTTATTTTACTTAGCATAATACCCTCTAGTTCCATCCACATCATTGCAAATGGCAAGATTTCATTTGTTGATGGCTGAGTAATATTCCATTGTATATATATACCACATCTTCTTTATCCATTCATCTGTCGATGGACATCTGGGTTCTTTCCACAGTTTGGCTACTGAGGACATTGCTGCTATAAGCATCGGGGTGCAGGTGCCCCTTCAGATCACTGCATTTGTATCTTTGGTTCTGTACCCATCTCTTGGCCTCAGCAATTGTCAGCATTTGGCTCACCTGGTTCCTCCTATACATGCCCTGCCCCCCCACACACAGACACTTTTTTCACTGCACTATTTTAAAAGCAAATCTCAAGCATGTCATTTCACCTTTAAATATGTCAATATGCATTTCTTACTTAAAAGGACTTTTCTTTAAACATAACAACCATGTCCCTGTCACATGGAACACAATGAACCATCCCTTGATGTCTGCTAATACCATATTACAACATCCCTGATAGTCTGAGAGGTGTCTTTTTAAAAGCTGGTTGGTTTAACTCGGGGCCCAAACAAGGTCCACACGTGGCGTTTGGTTGGTGTCTCCTTAGCTCTACACAGTCTCCTCCCCCTCCTTTTTATTTTCGGTTTCATTGCTGCTTTGTTTACGTGGTTTAATTAGTTGGAGAAACCAGGTTTTACAGGACAAAGGTCCAGCTAACTTTTTTTTATAAAGGGACAGAGTAAATATTTTAGGCTTTGAGGGCTAGATAGCTTTTGTCACAGCTCTCCAAGTCTGCCTGTGTTCCAATAAAACTTTATTTACACAAACAGGCAGGGGGCCACAGTTTGCTGACCCCTACTCTGGAAGACCCCACATTCCGGGGTTGGCCAGCTACTCTTTCACGATGCAGTACACTTGTTCTTCTATCCCTTGTATTTCTAGTTAGATTCAAGGAACTGGCTGATTAGATTCGGGCTTAGTTGTTTGGGCGCAAACACTTTACAGCTGGTGATACACCCTTCCTAAAACACCACGTCCTGGGGCAAAGAATGTCTGCTTGCCATAGGCTGTTTCTTAAGCAGGAATTACTCTCTGCCCCTCCATTTGCTTTTTTTTTTTT